GGATCCTATCCAATGGCCAGTCCATGAATTCTAACTTCTGCCAATTCACCACATAGCGCGACCACTTCACAAAGTCTTCTTCAATGAGTTACTGCCTCATCTTCAACCTACTGTACCCTACCGGTCACGGCTTTCCACTAGAACTCCAGGTTAACTGCCTGAATATGGCCAGTCACTAGTGAGCGTCTACGAGCTCGCCTTGTAACCAGAAGGTCGTGGGTTCGAACCCCGGTGGGTGCGTACGGTTGAAGTGTCCCAAACTAGGCTGACGAAACAGCTGTCCAGTACTCCCAGGTTTTCCAGTGGTTCTCTAACTGATGTCAGCTCATGATGAAATCCTCCATGCAATCAAACAAAATCCCTACAGAACCAATACTTGAAAATATTATTCGCTTAAATACATGTCAATGGATTAAGTAGAAGATTACTATGCGAGAGGATTCAAAGCACCGCTGACGTACTCTGTAAACGCCAACGGTAAGCTTATAAATGAGGGAAAATTGGGCATAATGCTAGCTACCTCACTTTTTCAAAATAATACAACCACAGCTTCAAGCATTTAGTTCCCTTGATAAATTTCTATAAAGAAAGGAAGACGAAATTTGCAGTATAAAATGATGCAGTCATTCTATTTCACAGGTTCTCATCAGCTGCATACCACTACCTGAAATTACAATGGTTATATGGATGATAATGAAATATTTTAATGTTTGAGTGGTAGTAGAGAAGAGATACTATAAAGCTGACGCATCCAAAATGAAAGCATTACAACTTTTTAGTTTAAGTTTTCTTCATCAATTTATACGCTTTAATATTAATGTCATAAACTGTAACCGCTTTTGTTTTTTGTAGTTGCTAAGTGAACCTACAAGCTAACGCTGTTCTGTTAATTAATCTTTGCTGTCGCATCCCTCCCCCTCTTTTCAACTTTAAAAGGGTATAAATTGATGATGAAAACTTAAACTAAAAAGTTGTAATGCTTTCATCATTTTGGATGCGTCAACTTTATAGTATCTCTTCTCTACTACCACTGAAACATTAGGGTATGTTATTTTCATCTATATAACCATTAAATACCTTGGATTAGTTCTTTCCTCTGACCTTTCATGGTCATCCCATATCTTATCTATCTCTAAGAAAATGTTTCGTCTTACCTTCTACATTAAAAAGTTAAGACAATCAGGTATCAACCAACCTTTAGTTTTGCAATTTTTAAACTCCTGTATTTTACCTATTGTACTCTACTGCTCTCCATTAATCTTTCCTGGGCTGCTCAAAACAGATTATATCATATTACAAAGAGTATTAAATGCTGCGAGTAGAGCTTGTGGTCTGCCACTGCATGAGCTCGCTAATACTATAGTCGAGAGGCATATAAATTCCTGTACGAAATGGGCAAAGGCTATAATGTCAGACCCTCTGCACCCCCTTTATTCACACCTGTCCCCTTGTATCTCATCAGGTAGGACTAGAAGTCAATATAAAAAGATATATGCTCGTACTACTAAGTATAGAAATTCTACAATACCCTATTTAGCGCGTACTTTATGTGACGAAGACTCTGTTAGACGTGAAACTTACATGTTACTATGTAATTAGCACAGTGAATCGACCCTTTTATCGATCATCTTTCTGTATTTTATGGTGTCACACTTTTCTATCGTTTTAATTGTTACTCTGCTATTTTATTTTAGTTGGTATTACTATTATTACTACAATTTTGTACTTTATACATATTTTTCTCCGTATGGCACACAGTATTTTGCTACGCAGCTGCTACAACAATCGTTTTATTACTATTATGTATTGTGTATTTTTAATTTTTTTTGTCTTTTTTGGGTAAATTAGATGCAATATTGTACTGAATGCTGAAAATTCCTTGCTGTATCATGAGTACTGTTTTTGGAATAAAGCAATTATTATTATTATTGTGATTTCAGGTAGTGGTGTGCAGCTGATGAGAACCTGTGAAATAAAATGTTGATATCAAAGGTTCACGCCCTATACTCTGCTAGGAAAGCAAATAATTAAAAGCATTTAGTGCAAAATATGTATGATTTGAGTGATATAGGTCTACTTGAAATGCCTTACACTTAATCATACTTTATCAGACTGCTGTATATGGAATTATTCGCTACAATAGTGCCTATATTCTACACTTATAATAAGGATATTCAACCTGTGTGCAGTTTCGTTTCACCGATGACATTCTTTATTGTAGTAAATTGAATTATGCGACAGACTGTGTACTACAGTGAGAAGACAGGAAATATGCTGGACTAGCGATATGAAGACTCCAGAAGGCATGGATTTCTCACATGGATGATATATGTCAAATATCAAGCAAACTTGAAGGCTTGAAAGCGAAAACCAACACAAACTGGTGGAAGAGGCTGGTAAGGAAAACAGGACTGCAGGTGAACATGTAGAAGGCGCATCAGTAACGACAACCAGCACCAATCACTATCAACGGGAGTAATCCTAAAGATATTACTTCCTCTACTTATCTAGGAAGCATCTTTTTGACCACAGACAGTCGGAACGGATGAAGACGTCTACGCCAGCCAAATTCGTAAAGGTAAAACTCGAAGTCATCAGTTTGAAAATATTCTACACTCAGAATGAAGAACGAAATCCACATTTTCAACACCAGTATTCAGTCATTCAGCTCTTTTATATGGGTTAAACATTTGAAGTGTCACGAAAAACAATTCTAACAGCCTACTGAAGACTTTTACACACAGATACCTTAGCCACGTATTAAAAAACAAGATGAGCAGAAAGAATTAGCAGCAAGAAACTCTGGTTGAGAACAAATAAACCAATGGTGATGGATAGGGCATACGATGAGGAGACCATTGAATCTCGTCGCACGCCAGGCCATCGTTCGAGCGGAATTCAATTGGGAAGCTATGAGTGGGGGTAATGTCGAGGGTAGTCGATCACGGAAGCATGTGAATAGGACAGTGGAAAATAGAACAAAGTAGAGATGTGTTGTTGAAGTCCTACATTCCACTCGAAACGCAATAATAACAACACACTGCCAAAAACGTATATCTATAATCAGTATATTATACCTGAGTGCAGTTTTGTTACTAGAGTCGGCGTATCACTTACCGTTGAATCCAAGTATGGATCCATAAATTTGATTCTACTGCCCCCGATTGCTTAGAAGTGATGCTAGGGACTTTCTGAACAAATATGATGTTCTGATTTGAAGACTATACATTTTTATATTTATTTCGTCTACATGTAACAAGGCATTGCATGGTAAACTAAAGTTTGATCAGTATGTTTAAGGCTTATTTCAACCGTCTAAGTTGCTTCCGTTTTCCAACTTCAGATGAATTACTGTTTGTAGAAGTATTAAAGAAGAAAAATATAAGATCAGCACCTCAGTAGAACCCTCTATCAATCAACAAACGTTTTTTCTTTCCTTCATGTTCCCAGTGGAACACAGGGTAGGCTGGAGGCTTGAAGTTTCGGTAGCAGTGGTGTTTATTTTTGTGGAATGAAGTTGCTAGCCTCATGCCCAACTTTCCCTCTATGCCAGTTTTATTGTTGGCTCGGCGAGGTGAGAGTGCGTCGGTCGGGGATTGAACCCCGGATGATGTGCATGGTCGGCGAGCGTCCTAACCATTATGCCACTGATGCCTAATGAAAAATTTATTTAATTTTATGTAGTTGTTGGCGGAATTCAGACGTCATGTCATTTGAAGCCATAGGTGCTGGGTTCGGATGTCAAGAGGAACACCTTTACTCACTGAGAATGAAAGCACATCTGCCCGACAAGTCTCAAGAAGAAACAAACTTGACTCCTACACTCCACTGCTGATTTTATTTTTTTTATTTTTGATTTACAGCTTGATTCCACACTGTATTTTCGGTACAAGTATGGAATTTTCAGCATGGATAGCGGTAGCCCAAATTTTGCAGGCCGACCATAGATATCAGGTGTGCGTCGGTGCGGGCTCGAACCCCGGACCATGTGCATGGTTGGCGAGAGTCCTAACCACTTTGCCACCGACGCACACCATCATCACCAGCGGAGTAACGGCATTTCCAACTCAATGATGTAGACGTGCCAACAAAGACTAAATACCTCAGTTCAATAAAATCAGTCAATAGCAAAATTGAAAGCAACTTCAGTGTACATGGATGTGATAAGTTTTCAACACTAAAAATATTCCAAAGTGTTTGTTTCCTAATTAGCTTAACGTCGTCATGAACTTAAGTGAATCATTCCGTTTCTCCACCCAAACAATAATGAAGTTTAATCATATAAAAGTGATTGACGACCAGCTACACTTATTGTGTGAGAGGCAGTGATACCATCTTGCTACCCAAACCTCTGAAGATGAAGCAGGGTTGAAATCCTTAACTAACAGGTTGGTAATAGAGCACCTAGATCATCGATCCACTGTTCCAAAACTCCAGTCTACTCACATTCTGTATATTATCACTTTATCTGTCAGTGCCTCCATCACAACAGTTGACGATGCTATCTGGTTTACGGTTCTACAAGTCAGTAACAGTAACTTTTATTTTTCATTTCATTTCTTTGCTTTTCGAGTGAAACATGGGAATTAGGGCTCGATGTTTCAGGTCTCACTAGCAGTGGTGCGGACTTTTTAAGCCTCACGCCAAATCCTCCCTTTTTATGAGTCTTCCTACCAGTTTAGTGAGGTTTAGGAGTACGTGGGCCAGTAATCGATCCCCGGAACACACGCATGATTAATGAGCCTACTACGGTTGAACCACTGGCGCAAAAACAACCAGTTAACGGATCCTAAACTTTCGCTTTGATTTAAAGACTTCGCAATAACCACGGTTACCTTAACATGATAGCTAGCTGAAATACTGATATCAAAGTAACATATGAAAGCTAGTCAGACTTACTAAAAAGTAACTAGGTAAAAGCCTGCAATCATACATACATAATTATCTGTAGTGGATGAAAATTACAAGAAAAATAATATATATATATATTTCCCACTTACTTTGATGATTTCAACCATTTCATGCTTTTCAATTGTTCCATTCCCATTAATATCATACATTTGAAAGGCCCATTCAAGTTTCTCTTCAGGTTTACCACCTGATGTTATATTAATAGCCAAAAGAAATTCTTTAAAGTCTATTTTACCCGAATTATCCTTATCAAATGTTCGAAATACATGTGTACAAAATTCTTCTGCATCCCCGTCAGGAAAGAAACCTGAATACACCTCGATAAACTTCTTTTTGCTTAATTGACCAGAAGGACAATCTCTCTGAAAGTAAATTAAAATAAGTATAAAAGGTTATGTGATGATGAATTAAATTTGTTTTTCTTTAAAATGGCGATACACTTTAAAAGTGGCAATGAATGAAATAAGGTGCTGTCTGATTTAACTAAGGACAAGATACACCAGAATGGTTACTCTATACTGACGAAACAGTGCGTCCATTACAGTCCTATAATAGTTCAATCATGACCACAAATAACTCACTAATATAGCGTCTGATCTCAGTAATTGATGAGCCAGATTCGGGTCTGTAATAGGAGCCAACTCGATTCAGATACACCTTGCTGACAAGTACCTATAAGGAAGCAACCTAGATCCACAGCTTTATTCCAGTTGCCTCTAACCAGCTAACATTAAATTAAACTTATGTATTACGTAATGTTTTTTTAGTTGCGTGTAGAAAATGCTAACTGAATTCACTTAATCAGCACTGACGCATCTTTCAATCAAAGAATACATGAAGGTCAGTATTGCTTTCACTCAGGTGAAGGTTGCTGTTAGAAAAACACCCAAGTATTTTTTTATTCCTCACGTCACCACTGAAACACAATGCTTCAAGTTCTGATTTTTCAGTAGCAACAGTGTGGGTGTGCCAGTTTCATGGACGATCTTCTTTATTTTCTGAGCTTACTATTGGCGGGTTAAATGGGTTTGGTTTTAAGAATGTGTTGACCGAAAAGTGAATCCGATCCATGATTAGTGATAGCTCCACCGGTCAGTCATCGAAACACAATAAGACAGCCGGTTATACTTGCAAGTATCAACTAAGTATAATGGTAGTAAACCAAAATCAAAGTTCGCTTCCATTATTGCTGATCTTTCTTCAGATAACTTACGGGTTAATTCGAAATACTTCTTGAAGTATATTCTAGAACTTCTGTAAATAAATAAAATAAATAAACTTCTGCCACTGTAATACCGTTAAATTAAATCAGTTTGAGTCACATAAATAGGCATAATTCCATCACAGAGTGGAAACTTTTGATAAAATCGAAAAGTGGCACAGTATTATTTACTGATGAGGTAAGATTTTAAAATAAAATCTTAGGGAACAAAGTATACTATGCACTAGGGTTTATAAAAAGCCAACGCATTCTATTAGATATTTACTCTAATTGGAAGCTAGTAACGAATGCGATGTGTCTAGTCCCTTCTTTGGTGCAGACTGAATTCTACCAGTCAGGTTTGCAATGTGGCTACAATTCTGGGTAGCTCAGCATCACGGTTTCGATTTGATGAAAAATAGATGGTTGGAGGCGATCGGCAAGAAGCCCATCCTGACCTAGGTTTTGTGCTAGTTGGTATTCATCAGTCGGTCAGCAAGGCGTGTCTGCAACCTTGAAGGAACTGATGTCCCTCCTGAGATTCGAACCCGCATCATCCAGTGTTGCAGTCAGAGACTGACAGAATTAGGTCTGCACCAGAGAAAGAACTAGACACGTCAAACTAGTTACTAGTGTCCAATCAAAGTACCGACTACAGTACTACAGGAGGTTAATCGCGAGCTCAAAAAGCTCATTGGTAACATCTCTGACTGCAGCTCTTGATGACGCGGGTTCGAACCTCAGAAGGAACATGAGTTCCTTCAAGGTTGCAGATACGCCTTACTGACTGGTGAGTGCCATTCAGTACGAAACCTAGGTGGAAAGCTTCCTGCCGACTGCCTCTAACTATCTAATATCATCAGATGTTTACCCTTCAATTTATCTTATCGGTTATCCATAAAAGCAGGTTTAGTTAAGTGTTCTAAAAAATGAGAAATAACTTTGAGTGGTACATTAGAAAACAGAACAATGACGTCGAAAAAAAATAGGAGCGTTGGCGGTCGAGAAGGTAACAATAACTCACAGACAAAAAATTAAAAAAATTAGTGAAACCATTTACTATAACATAAATAAGAAGAAACTTAAGGCATCTGCAGTTTTACCACATGAGGAGGGGACATCTGAAACTCTACGTAGGATTCTCAATAAATCGTGAATAAGGGTGCCATTTAAACCTACAGACTCACTCAGGGACAAGTTCTATAGGTTAAAGGTCTGGAATCAAGCTGTAAATCAAAAAAAGGACCCTATTCACCAAGTCAGACAAAATAATATCATCTACCAAAACACTATGCAATGAATGTGAGTCGGGTGAGCTACATAAGTCAAACTAATAGATTGGGGGTAGTCGGATTTTCTAGTGCGTTGGTGGCACAGCGGTAGAATACTGGCCAAACATATATGTGCTCCAGGATTCAATTTCCCTACCGACGCACTCCTTTACCTCTTTAAACCAGTAATTAAATAGGTTAAGAGAGAAGGTTGGGCATGAGGCTAGCAACCTCATCCCGTAAAAACATAAACACCACTGCTATCGAAACTCCAAGCCTCTAGTCTGAAGCCCTATGTTCCACTGGGAACGCAAAGGTGTAAAAGAATAATCAGGTCAAATTTTCAGAATATAAGAATTTAGCTTAGTTTAGAATGATTGGTTGTGTGAAGATAAGAAATTTAGAAAAAAGATCAGCAATTGCAGTGCATGCGCTAACACACAGCCACACAATAGGGTGGGTGGGAGAGGGTTAAAATTCTAAAAAGTAATCTAGATAGGTGGAGAGAGAAGTTGATTATTGAATCCTTGTTCATCGAGTCAACACGAAACACATGGAATAAGAATGATTCATCACTCATGCCGGAAATATAGAAAATACTACTACCAATCAAATCAAGCGATGAAAAATAATGGAATAATCTAAACGAAGTAGGAAAGTTATATGAGTAACTTGACATGAGTATGAGCAGCAATAAATTGTGCTCGAAACGTCATCAGTACATATTGCTGTATAACACTGTGTGATTTAATCGGATAAATTTACTTCGTAATAGAATTCTACTCTACAAGTTCTATTATTATAATATAAATAGGTAGGCTGAAACCACGCTACCCTCACTTTACAGTTTCTAAATGGGATTAACTCTCTGGGACAACTGTGTTGGGAAAGAATAACAGATAACTTAGACTAGGCAGTTCAAATTGTCTTTCTTGAGATTACAAGTTTTAAAATTGTTTATCTTGAATTCAAAACAGTAAAGCAGTACAAAACCTAATGTTAACTTTGAAATAATTTAAAAGAAATTGAAGCAATTGGGAAAGTTAGCTCGTAGGAAGCAGAGTTGAGTACAACAATCCATCTAATCGACCTCTCAAAGTGTTTGTCCTCGGGTTTATTTGAAATGATAACTTTCTTTCAAGTATTGGTTTTGTATGGAATTTCGTTCGATGGGTTGGAGGATTTTATTATAAGCTGAAATCAGTTAGAGAACCATTAGAAAACCTAAAGAGAGTACTGGACAGCTGTTTGATTTTATTCTTTCAACCAATCAAACAAAATCACTACAAAACCAAAACTTGAAAAGGTGATCTGATGCTCACTAGTGACTGGCATTATTCAGGCAGTTAACCTAAGGTTCTAGTGGGGTGCAGCAGGTTGAAGGTGAGCCAGTAAATCATCGGTGAAGACATTAAGAAGTGGTCGCACTATGTAATGAATTGGTTGAAGTTAGAATTCATGGACTGGTCATTGGGTCGGATCCCAGTGGCTTCATTGTCCACATGCTAGCTCGCCTTGTAACCAGAAGGTTCTGGGTTGAAACTGTGCGGCGGGCGCGTACTGATGAAGAGTCCCAATGAGTTAGGACGAAACAGTTGGCTGTCCACTAGTACTCCCCTGACTGGTTTTCCAATGGTTCTCTGACTGATGGAATCCTCTAACCAATTATAACTTTCTGTCGACTGATTTAAACATTTCATGACCCAGACAAGTAGATTCGAATACAAGGAGAGACAGATTAGAAAAAAGAAGGTAGGGGATCGAAGAAGGTCGTCAATTCAACTGAATCCCAGCCATTACACCAATAACGATCAATTTGTTTATCCGTGTGGACTGAAACACATGATGGTCAACATAATTTTCAGGGGGCAAGACCTCATTAGTTTCTTTATAAATCACTAACAACAAATACGCCTTTTAACAGCCGTAGGTGTTATATTCTTCCTTCGCTGTTTTAGGCAATGTTAAGAGCAGCCTGACCACCAGATTAGGTTCAGACGGGCTAAAATGTTAGCAGGTAGTGTGGCTAGCGTTTAGATGTAGCAGGATTGGTAGCCACGCATCACTTGTGAGCGTTAAAGCTAGTGCTAACCAACTGAAAACGCGTTGAAAATCACTTAAGCAGTCTAACTGAGTGGGTTCCTAGACTTGGTAAGCCCAATTTGATCTATGCTAATTCAGCCTTCTATTGTTCTATATCATTATCCAATGCTTGCCACGTCACATCGTTAAATTTCCTTTAAACAACTGCTCGTCAGTAATAATTCTGGTGATTCGACCACAATCGACATTTGTATCTTATGGCAGGTAACCTAAATCACTTCGGGGAAGCATACAAATCCTGCTGGAATATGCTTTTGATAAGGAAAAAACGGTTAGGAATTTATCTCGTTAAAATTATCCTCCTTGTTTATCTCAGGAAACTGTTTGAATAAACCGAACAGCCTATTCAACGCGTGACCTATTTTCTAAAAGAAAATGCTAAACTGGCTAGTGAACGTATCACCTACAAAGCTTGTGTATGCCAATGTTTAACAGTGAATATTGAACGCATGATGTGAGATGACTTGTCGACGTACATAACCATGTATGTGAAGTTATATTTTATGGTTTTAAGTAGTATATTATATTCGAAATAGATCAACAACATGACATATTTTTAGCGAAATGCTTAGAGTTGTTGTTTAAGAAATGCTTTTCGTGTTTAAAATAAAATCAATAATCAAAAACTGACAGAGAATCGATAACAAGCAAACTAGTTGACAGACAGCTAGCAATGAAAATGCTATTCCCTTTCTCTCTCTCTCTTCAAATAAGTGGCAAGGGAGGAAGGCCAATCAAGAGAGAGGAAGGGAGGGAAGGAGAAGTTAACTTCTATTCAAAAAGTCGT